CGGCGGGCGGGGCCCGCGCTCGTGTGTCCCGCCCCGGCGCTGTGGTGCGGAGGGGCGTGACGGGGGGGCGGGCCGGGGGTCGCAGGGTGAGGGGCAGGCGGTGAGGTGTCCCCCGTTCCCCTCAGGGCCGGGGCGTGGGGAGCGCTTTCCGTGGGGCAGTCGCAGGCCCTTGGGCCGCTGGAGGGCTGGCCGGTGCCCCCCCCCCCCGTGGGGCCCACCGTGCCGCACCCCCGGCCGGGCCGGGGCGGGGCGGGGCAGCCCGCGGCAGCCCGCGGTACCGGCTTTGCCCCCGCGGCGGCGAGTAGTTCCCCGTGTGCGGCTGCGGCGTTGCCGGAGCGGGCGAGCCGGCGAGCGGGACAGTTGGCTGCTGATGGGGTGGTCTTGGCGTAACTTGGGTTGCGATTCTTCGCACGTAAAGTGACACAGCGACAATAAACTTCCTACTAAAAGTAATAAACCCAACATGCAGTGGACCCTAAAAGAAGCTCTCAGTGAATTCGCTTTTTTGGGAGAAAGCTGCTTGTGTGCATACCTGCTGTGTGCTTGGTTTATGTATATACTTTCCCGCCTTTTTGCCAGTTACTTGTGGCCTCTCGGAACAGCTGAGCTTGTCCTGTGTCCTGACTCGGGTTGAGGCAACTTGTTGGAGTGGGCAGGTGTTGAGTCTTGATGTTTTGTAAGACTCTGAAATCTCATCTCTTTCTTAAGTGTACTTAAAAGATCTAGCATTGTTTGTCAGTGTAATTGACACAGGTGCATTTTCCAGATACTTGTGCTAGCTACACAAAAGTGACTTCCTTGAGAAACCTTTTAAGTACGAGTCCCCAGATCTTCTGTCTATTCTTAACAGTATCTGCCTGCTCTTCCGTGACAGAGATAAGCTAAATCTCAAACCTGGTACAAGTTCATATAAATCTAATTGTAACTCATTTGTGTGAGGCTATCACTATGCTCTAATTTCCTCCCTGTTATGTTTTACTGTAATTTGTGCCCTTCATAATGGTGGTAAAGAAATGTCGTCAGAGGTGGCTTTTTCAGAGGGAGTGTTTAATTGTTGAAAGCTGTGCAATTATCTTAAATCTTTTTATAAAACCTCTGAAACATTTCACGGAAGACCCAAAAAAGATTGTTAGCGAGGCATTCGACTGTATGTGTTTCCTGTCATGAAGTAAAAATTAAAATCAGAATGGGGAATATTGTTGTCAGAAATGCTAAAAACATGAACTTGCACAGTCAAGCTTTGATCTCCTTTTTTTGTTATTGTTTTTTTTTAATGGGTATGCATTGAAAACTTGAAGCTTGAAAAATGTAAGAGAGTTCCCTTCCTTCTGCCTCGACGGAGTACTCCTAGGTAGAATGTGCTTGTTATCACAATGGACTTACCTGTTTTTTACAGTTTAGGTTTCTTCTTAGGACTAAAATCTTGCACTCTTGACTCTGTTTAAAATAACTAGTCCTGGCAGTTTGAAAGGCAGTGTTTCCCTTTGGAATCTGGCTGCATGTTGCCTTCACAAGGAGGCCTTGTAACTGAGGCAAGGCAGAAGCAAGTACTCATATGAAGCCTTAAAGTTATGTCAGTCTAGAACTGGTGTATTTTTAGGGACCACTGCTTGTAGTTGGTAGGTATAGGTATTACCATAGAATAAAGAATCGGAGACAAGAAAATGGAGAAATCTAATACTCTGCCTTAAGGCAGGGCAGAGGTGTGACTGGCCACTAATAGGATTTTAAAGTAAAGCTAGCTTGAGACTTCTGTTAGTGTCTTTAAAAGTTTATATATTAAGAAATAGTATGTGGTGTTCTGGATTAGAGAGGAGATTGCAACTGTTAGGAGAAAGGTTCACCTCAGAGTGGGCATTCAAATCCTGTTCCTGATGTTATACAAGTTGTGTCTGTGGATGACAGTCAGTGAGAACCTAGCGTATGCAAGAGGTGCCCTTGGCTTCGATAGCTGTATTATCATGGGAGTTCTTGATGGCTAAATAAATTGAGATCTGACTGCCTTTTGTGTTTTGCTAAATGATCTTGAACTATCAGTGCGTTTGTCTTTGGAATTGAACCACTGATGGTAATGTGTAGGCTAGATTGCAGTGCATAGTGTTGGCTCTCTTGAAGATCCCGTCCGTAAGATCCTGCGTAAAATGCTCACGATGGTTATTGTGTTTGCCTGCGCTAGCAGTTTCTGTGGCTGCTTGCTCTCTTTGTAGAGTTGAACCAGGGACAGCAATGGTGTATATTTCCCTTTATTTTGAGCAAAGTGCTTCCCACATGGAGGCAGGGTGAAGGAAGCAGTCCTATGGTGTTAAAATGCGCTAACCCTTGAGTTGGAAATGGCCTTGAAGTGGTGGACTTCATGGAGAGCAGCCTGTAGAGTGCTTTGGCTGAAGCTGCATAAAAGGCTAAAGCTGAGGCATGGACTGCTGCCTGTTTGATGTGTGCACTGAGGATACAGCTGTTGATCCCACTTTACACAAATATTAAACTCCCACATTTCTCCTTTATCTCGTTGTTAAATGTGGGTGTCGTGGTTTAACCCCAGCCAGCAACTAGGCACCATACAGCCACTTGCTCGCTCCTCCCCCTTCCCAGTGGGATGGGGAGGAGAATCAGAAAAAAAAAGTAAAATTCCTGGGTTGAGATAAGAATGATTTAACAACTAAAGTAAAACAACATGTATACTAACAATAATCATAATAAAATATAATGATTGTAATTAAAAGGAATATAACAAAAAAATCCCCCCCCCAAAAAACAAACCAAAACAAAAAAGAGAACCCCAAGAGAATACAAGTGATGCACAATGCAATTGCTCACCACCTGCTGACCGATGCCTGAGCAGCAATCCGCCCCTCCTGGCCGACTCCCCCCAGTTTCTATACTGAGCATGATGTTCTATGGTATGGAATATTCCTTTGGCTAGTTGGGGTCAGCTGTCCTGGCCATGCTCCCTCCCAGCTTCTTGTACACCTGCTTGCTGGCAGAGCATGGGGAACTGAAAAATCCTTAACTTAGGATAAGCACTACTTAGCCACAACTAAAACATCAGTGTGTTATCAACATTATTCTCACGCTAAATCCAAAACATACTGTACCAGCTACTAAGAAGAAAATTAACTCTATCCCAGCTGAAACCAGGACAGTGAGATACAATGGTGTTACACTGGAAATTTTTGTGCCATTCATGTAAAGTGTTTATGAAAAGAAGAGATACTTGTATTTTATGTACTCATTCATGACAGAATTTCCATACATATGTATATGTATACAGGATTTAACTCTTGTTTGGGGAATTTGTTAGCAATATTTATACAATTATAAAATTTATTAACTTTTATATTTATATTTTCTACATATTATATATTAGTATATATCATTTTATATTTAAAATTTATTAAAAGTATATTTCTTTAAGAGAAAAAAAACTTTTTTGTTTGGGGTTGCTTAGGTTAATGAAACCTGGATGGTTAAACCATGAAGTTCATTGTCCGGGCTGATCTGCGTGCCAATGGTTTGCGTGGGTTAGAACAGTGATTAGACAAAGTCACAGGGCAAAAATGTACCAAGGGCGTTTTTTAAACACAAAGATAAAACTTCAGATGCTTCTGGGCTGCTTGTAAGAGGAAGCTGGATAAATATCGCTGTATATTTACCCTACTGCTGTCGCTTTTCCCCCTGAGCTTTATTATTAACCAGTGTTAGATACAGGATATTGGGCTACTCAGGCCATTGGTCCATCCTGATATAGCCATCCTTGTGTTCTGTACTCGAGTTCCACCACACTCAGGGTACGCACCATCGGTATCCCTGGACAAAACTTCAGTTTATCTCAAAGAATTAAATGTGTTGCTTTGGCAAAACTGACATATCTTCTTTACATCTTTTAACTGAGGGGAAATGGTGGAGTGATGATGAAATCTAGTTTTCTGTCTTTTTTTCATTTGCTGCTAACATGCTTCAGACATTTTAACTGAAACATCTCATAATTGTTCTCAGATCCAAAGCTATGAAATATTTGGTAAACATGAGGTAACTTCATTTGGAACTTGGTTTGGAGTGTCATCACTTGAAAACTGAATGGAAAAATAAATCTGCTTCAGATGAAAGTATTTAGTATATTGAGCATATGAGCAGCTTAACTTCACAATGTTTGTATCAGCAGGATGCTTTATTCAGCTTCAAAAGCCAAGGAGATGTGGATTTACTTTGCCTGTGGTCCTTTATATCTTTGCAAAGCAAAATAAATTTGTGCTTTCAGGGTTGTACAGTTCTTTTCAAGTGACTCTTTAGCCTTTTACGCTCTCCTTACTAAAGCTGTAAACAGTTGAAATACCACAGCCAAGAAGGTCCATCTCAAGGAATTTAATATGTGGTGTGGTGAAGAAGATAAAGCTGGTAGAAGTCGTGTACTAATATAACACTGCCTGTCTTTAAAACAAATAATGAAGGAAAAAATCCTGAACACCCTTCCGCCTCCCTCACCCCAAACTGCAGGAATTAAGTTTTCTTCTGTTCAGTTTGGCATCTCAGGTGTGTAGTCTAGTATGTATGTACTCTAGTAACATAGACGCCAAGTTCATTTGTCATTTTGTCTCATTGCTTATGAATATTTGGGATTGGTCACTGCTTTAAAGGGCGTACTGTCTGGGTGAAAGCCTTATCCTGTGGATGTGGCAATTCACTGTCCAATATTATCTGTTTGCTTGAAGGTTTGTAATGGGCAGCTGAGCTCCTTGAATTACTTTTCTTTGGGATAGGAGGTGAATCTCCGAAGTGCCGGGAACTCTGTCTTTTTGCCTTTTATCACGTGATTCATGCCAAATTTAGTTTCAGATATCTGGCGTTTTTCCTGCCAAAGCTTACTGCTGTAGACTAACAACAGTAATTTTATTTCATTTATATGTTGTTTTATAACCCTTTAAAACAAATATAATTTACTTCAAGATGGCTGCATGACAGAGTTGGGTAACACAAATCCTGTCTGTTGATTATGGAAGTAGGTGACTAATATTTTTGTAAAACAGTGCTGGCATATCTTTAAATATCAAGTGTTTTCTAGATGTGTTATGGTTGTTAGCTGAGTGCTTGTGGACATATTTAGATGAAAATCATGAGAGTGTGTAAGTGTGTTTTGTATCTGTGTGTACAATGACAAGTCAAGCAAATTGTCTTACACAAGAGGCTGAACTATACCGGACCAACACACTGAAATTTTTCTGCAGTGGGTAATGAAGTGATAAAGAGGCAAGAATTTCTTGAGGGCTTTGATGTTAGCTTGCAATGGCGTTAGAACTTAGAAGACTAAATTTGTAAGACCAAAAAAAATGTCTTGGTTGAGGCTAAAGTACAGAAGGCTGAAATAAACTTTTGTGACTTTTTCAGGTCATCTTGTAATGGAAAAAAATGGAGCTGACCATGACATTCCTATGGAAGGATCTAATGATTTGTTCGTAGGGAACTGTGATAGTCCAGGAGAGTCAGAAACAAATGATCAGGTTTTTCAGGTGAGGTATGAGTAGCCTGTCTTTGTAGCTGCTTTCTTTACATCCTTTCTGATGAATTTATAGTATGATAGTCCATCAATGTGTTTTTTCTTGCCTTTATAATAATACATCATGTCTTTTTAAAAAGTACAGCATTTCCTTCCCTTGGATTCTTGTGCCATTCAGTTTTGAACCGATAAATATCCGGATGTTACATGTAATGACAACTTTTAGTAATTATATTAATAGAACCTATTAGAGTGCTGAAGAAACCTATGTTTTATTGTGTTAACGAAATCCTTTAATAAAAGAATATTTGATGACATGCTTTGGAGTAGGAGGGGTTCAGAACACTGGAAAATCAGGTCAAATTGCTTAGTGACCAAATGTGGCAAGTAAGAATCCAGGGACACAAGACATCTGTGTAGGTATTGGGGAAGGGGAGTCTTTAATGTATTTATTATCAAATATTGCCAGATAGCCCTAGCCAGAGGGATTTCTGTGCATAAATGTTCTTCTGCAGATTACTTCAGCTAGCATAAAATATAATTCAGGTAGTGATTTATTAGTGTGCTTATGGTCTCTACACAATGTCTTTAACACAACTAGTGCCATTTATTTGTCGCTGCTTTTCTGGTGTAGTTTACAGTAGACAGTTTTATCACAGAAGATTTATACCTGCAGAACTTTTGAGAAGGTTACTTGGCCCAGGTCTGACTTAATGTTAAATTTAGAAATATTTTTGCCAACTCTTTGGATTTGTAGTTTACAACTTTTTGTAGCAGAAACGTCAGAGTTGCTTGCATGATTGCTGCAAGAGATACGACAAATGACACTCCTTGCATTGGCCAAATGACAGCCTGACATGATATTTTGCACAAGGGCTGGCTATTTCCCATTATTTTTACATGTTTAATATTTGTGTTGTCAGAGTTTCAACGTGACAGATATTTGTGCTTAAACGCTTACATTTAATGAAAATGGGATGTGCTGTAAGAACTTGATACTGCAAGCTTGATGAGAATAAGCTCTGAGTACTTATTTTTTTGACTTGCAAAATCTGATTCTTGGTCTTGGACTGTATAATTCTTGGACTTGAATTGGTGGTTTTGTGTTGCTTGTGTTTCTTCTGTGATAAAGAATTAAGAAAGCATATAGAGATTTTTGTCTTTGTAGCTAAATGCATGTATCTAAAGGCCAAGTAGAATAGTATCTAGGTTTTCTTTTGAAGTCAAATCAAGTTGGTGGATGTTGTACATTTGGGAGGTTTTGGTATAAGTTCTCTCAGTTTCTGGGTAGACTTGAGATATTTTGAAGTGATGGAGTGGTTTTGGGAAACAGATTTTGGGCACAAGGGATTTTCTTTCCCTGAAGTAGAGAGAGTTTATTCTAGGAAGCAGAAACATGAATACATTTTCAGTATGGAAATGGAAAACAGAACTGCTAATAATAGCCTCTTGATCAGAAGGACAGGAGCTCCCTCCACATATACAATACAGCACACTGGTTTTAAATGTTCTTTTCTTTTTTTTCTTAATAGAAATTGCTACTCAAGATTAAAGTACATTTTACTGTTCTTCCTCTGTGAAAGCATCTAACCTGCATGGATTCCAGGGATCCATTGTTTGGACAGAGTGACTCTCCCGCAGCCTTGCCCATCACAGTACGCCTCTCGGGCAGTTCTCAATCGTTGTCTGTGCCCGTGCGGCCCCCCCAGCCGCAGCCTCGCTCTGCAGAGGAGTTCCACCTGGTAGACCAACCCGGGCAGCCTCTCTATGAGCTGCAGCCCCTAGGAGGGCCCAGTGCATCGATGGTGAGTGTGTCTGAAAGCAGGGGAGATGGTGTATTCACAGAGGAGGGAGCTCTTTGAAGAACTCTTTTATATGGTGCTTGTTTGTTGTAACAACGGCTGATTCAGACTTTATCTTTAGCAACAAGGTGAAACTTTTCAGTGGTTCAGTTCATGCTCCAGCTGCCCTTCCTCAGGTAGGCAAATCCCGTCTGCAGCCATTACTAATTTTATTAAACAACTTTTGTCATTATCAAGCCTGGATGTTATTGTGTGATGAGATCTCATAGTTCTACCACTGCTGCTTTCTCTATATTCCCTGGATAAGTGTCTCTGTGTTTTTTTTTTTGGGGGGGGGGGGCGGATTGGAACATTGGCAATAAGCTAACCCACTATGTCTCTCCTCCCCGCCCCGCCCCAATTAATTTGCTTAAAACAGCGCTTTGTAATTCTTAACACTCATTTTGTAAAAAGGTAACTCTCTCACCCAGAGGGTTTGGTTGGCATGTGTTGTACTGTCACTAAAGACACTTCACCCATTTAAAGTGTAATAAATCAGAAACAAGATGATATTTTATGTTACACTAGGTTTTGTAACATTGTTGGGAACAAGTCCTTGGTAGTTATGGGAAAATATACCATAAGGAGTTGTTTAAGTTTTCCAGAATTCTAGGAGATTTAATTTTTTTTTTTTTTAAGTCCTGGAGCTTTTCTTCTACCTCCTTTTGTATAAAATGCTGTCCATAGAGGTCAGTTTCTTAGGAGTAAAGGTCAATAATTTTATATGTTGTGATTAATTCTGCTAGTCCATGAATGGAGTTACACTGAATCCAGCTATGAATAGCTTTCAGGCTTTTGATAGCTTTAATAATAGTGTTGTAAGTTTCAAATAAATGTGTAATTCATTGTAGAATCCTCTAAGTTTTTTTATTATTATTTCCTTTTATCAATTAAAGGGCTATTTTAAAAGACGGAAAGTAATTTTAAGAAATTGACAGTAAATAGGCAGTTTCCTTATTATGTGAAATCAAGTTAATTTACAGGCCCTAATTCCAACCAAAATATTTCCTGTTCTGGCAATAAGCAAACCCATTTGTGAACTAGTGCCATTCAAGCTTTGGTGTAATTGCCTTACAGATGATTGTTGCCAGCCAGTCAGAAAATGGACAGGTGCTGCATGTCATTCCTTCTGCCCAGCCAGGAATGGCCCAAGTGATCATTCCTCAAGGTCAACTTCTGGATGTGACCAGCACACAGGGTGAGTTTAATCTGTGGGACTTGAGGGTGTGTGTTCTTGTGGCTTCATGATCTCTTCCGTAACACCTTGTTTGTATGTGTTTCCTTTCCTTAGTCAGTTACAAGACAAAAGTACGTGCTTACTGAATCTGCTTTCTGATTCTGAATCTGGCACCCCATACACCACGTTTTCTGTTGGGCAAAAGCCTTGTGAAATAAGAGCTATTATGTTAATTTTAGATATGCAATGGATAGATTGAGATATCGAGCACAAAGCTGCTTTTTGCCTTATTTACCATTCATAAGGATATTTGTGCCAAGTCAGACAGCTATATTAGCAGCTTCAAATTTTCACTGTCTGTTTACTTCATTTTGAGTGAAGTAGTTAATTCATGTAACGCAGATAGAAGAATTAATGTTCTGGTCTGTTCCAGAGATCAGTGTTGATGATGCATCTTTTGTGAAGCCAGAAATGAAGTACCTAGGTAGAAATTTAGTTCCCAGTGAAGAAAATGAGATGTAACTTTCACTTCATTGCTGAATTTTTTCCCTCACTGTGTTAATTGTCACATTTTAAGTATCTGGTGAGATGCACAACTAGAAGCGCAAATTTTAAGCTTTTTGCTAGAAAAGGGACATAGTGAAATCTGAAGGCATTGATTATTTATCTGCAAGCCTTGCTGGGTGGCAAAATGCTGTGTACTAGTTTGCATTCACAGAATAAGACTGAGAACTAGGTTGTCACATTTTGTTAAACTCTCCAAGGTTTTTTAAAATTTTGCATTTTCTGTATAAAATTCTCAAAATCTGAGCAAATTCTCAAAATCTCAGCACTAGATAAGTGCTCTTATGGAATGAGAGCTCAAACGTAAGACTAGAATCCTGATGCTGGGTGGATAGAAAAGAGTTGGGATTCAAGTCATGATCTTTTCACTTAGAGTTGGAATATGGTTTCATGACCTTGCATTGAAAGGCTTGCTTCTACACTAATGCTCATCCTTCTCTCCCTCTCCACCTGCTCTTGTGGGTGTAAAACCACTCTCTGGTTACAGTGTATTCACAAGTGACTTTAAGCCTTTAGTTACTAAAGAATTGCTGCTACTTTTTGTAGGCAATAAGTTGCAATGCTGAATAGTATTTTTGTATTCCCATTTTTCATCCTAAGTGGGGCTCCCTGTTTGGAAATAGCTCAGTTTCACAGTGTTTGAATACATGTTCTACAACAGTGCTACAGGGGTTTTTGTTTGTTTGTTTTTTTCCTAGAGACTTACTGTATAAAAGACTCTGTACTTATCTGATTTTTAAAAGACAGTTAGGAAGACTTGTTGGTGATTTACTATGGAGATTAAAGGGGAAGGAGAATGGACTGTCAAACCTTGAGTTTCACTTGCCTGCACATGGTGGTAATGCATGAAATGGCACAGGCTTCAGAGTAGGCCGTAGTGTCTTAAGGGCACATCTGTGTAGAAGGAACCAGTGCTTTGAGCTTTGAGCCAGAGTGGTGGTACTCTGAAATGCATACTTTTGAATCTTCTGGAACAAGTTTTCTAGCGGAGTGATTTCTGTACTGAGTCAATAGCTTATCACTTTCTCAGGATGGGGGAAAGAGGCATCTAAAGAGAGCTCCCTTTTCTTTATGTTGAGACCAAAGTATCAAATATCTGCTTTCACAGTTTTCCGTTATGTTTTTTTTAACTACACACACAGGCTTCAATCTAACAGTATTGTTTTGGCTTATGGATTGCTCCCTGTTATCAAGAAAGGCTAAAACATTTGTTCTAACAGCATGTCAGATTCAATTACAAGAGGCCTTTTTTTTTCTTGTTTAGGTGTTCTTTTCTAAGTACAAAGCAATATCATAATCTCCTTTTTTCTTAGTTGAGAAGCAACCAGTGTGTTATTTGCAGCTGAACAAAATAGTGTGCAATCCTATATGGATTTGTGAAAATGTAAAGCAGAGTAATTTACAAGTTCTTCTTATTATTTGCTTTGTTGTGGAAGGATTCTTTAGCCGTAGCGTGATTACCAAAGTCCTTGAGTACAACCAACCTTATCAAGTGTATCTTCATATGTATGCCTAGAGTTTGAGTATTGATTCACAACTATTAAACTACTTTATCATCTAGAAATCCTATTTCATATGTCAAAATGCTTGCTTTTCCAACACACAAAGTTTAATTGTAGCTTGTCATTTCCCCATTCTGAGTTCAGTTATTAACCAGAAGACTGTTGTATTTTTGCAAAGATGTTTCGGAAGAGAAGTGTGGTGATGGGAACTTGCAGACTGTGGCGGTGGCTGCTATAGCAGACAGTGCAAGCAGTTACATTCTACATCCACAGGCATCTCTCACCGTATCAAAAAAAACAACCACCAGGTAGGTCAGGAGTTAAAAGGATGAACAATCACTTTGATCCACTGTTAGTACTGCCTTTTTTTCCTGCCGTTTGTTTTTGCAATGGTTATCACAAAATTAGTATAGAATGGAGGTTATGAACCCTTAGTATTACTGAATGATGTCTAGCTAACTGTGTTTGCAGGCGGCTTTTGTATGTGCTAGAGCAGTGGAAAAAGCAATTGAAGTACCTATATTCCAGAAATAGTTGGATATATTCTGTCCAGAACAATAGGTGGGCCTTTAGTAACACAGTAACAAAGTAACACAGTAACACAGTGCAAATTACTGAAATCACTCCAACTAGACACTAATACTGCCATCCAAGAGTTGAAAGTGATCCAGTGAAGGAACTGCAGGGAAAGTTGACGTTTGAGTGAGCAGAATTTCTTGTATGAGTATATTAAAACCTATATAAACTATCCTCCCGCAAGAAGAGTTAATTGTAGAGAGAGAGATTTCAATAGTCAGCATTAACAGGAAGAGCCTAATCTTTGTTCTCTGGATAACTTCTTCAGCTTCCTTTGATAAATATGAGAAAGTAGCTGCTAACAGTGTGTTTCGGTGGAACATGTAGACAGGCAGATTGGTTATCAAAATTTCTAAAGTTAAAATAGTTGTTATGTTTTTCTTCTCTTGATGTCCACTTGATTCTGTCCCCATGCTAAGTGATGCGTACTATTTTAATTCCTGAATACTCTGAAATTCTTTTTTGCTTAAAAAACCCCCGAAACCAAATCATAGAATCATTTAGGTTGGAATAGACCTTTAAGATCATCAAGTCCAACAATCAACCATGCCCACTAAACCAATCAAACAAAACAACAACAAAAAAACTCCCCAAAAAATCTAAAGACGACGTTTGCTCTGTGGACTGCAGGCTGGCTTTGCATTGGTTTATGCTCTTTTGAAATCAAGATGTGGAAGAGATTAATCTCACTACAGCACAAATTATATATATTCAAGAAACATTTAAAAGAAGAGAAACAGTTTGTGAATGGATTTTGTGGACACAGTCTGTACCTGTTAGAAAAATAATCCTGGAAAGGAGACATGTTTGTATGGACAGGAGGTGATGCACTTGAGTTTTGGAATAATAAACATTGAGTAAGCACTGTTTCTGCCCCAGGGTTTAGGGTATGGAGAAACTAGATATGTACATAAAATAGCTATTGGAGCTGGTTTTCAGTAATTTAAAATATACTAAAATGTGCAGCATGTAACAAGTGTTTGATATTGGTTTTAATCTTCAGCATTCTACCATCAGTCTGCATAAGAAAATTATCAAGATAATCAACCTGTCTATTTCACCATGTCTTGTCTATTGCTGTCAAGTAATAATACTGAGAATACTGAATGCTCAGAGGACTTCTTGAATGTAGAAAACAGTGGTTTTTTCAAATACTTATATTTACTGTGAATTATTTCAACAATGAAATAGAATATTGGGAAAATGAACCCCAGATTTTTAAAGCAAGTTGATACAATATCTGTAGTTTGATCATATGCTGTAGGGTTATACATAATGCACTGATCTGATATGTTACCTGTAGTTTAGACTAAATTGTTGCTTTCTTGGATGTCTGTATAGACTTCTGCTATATTTTTTTTATTTTTCAGGATAGTGGAAGATCCCTTTCCTGTCCCTCTCCAGCCATTGCCACCAAATACGCCTGCATGGGCACGCCGTCTCAGGAACTGTGAGGTGGGCTGCAAAGAATTCTGACTTGATGTTTTATCATCTAGGTCTAAGATATTGATCCTATTCCATGAAAGGAATAATTCATAGTTGTAGAAGTTGTGTTCAAGCTTCCTGATATTATGAAATAGTACTGGTACAAACTGGTACTACTAGCACATTTAAACACATAAAATGCTATGGTATCCCTTCCTTTTTTGGGAATGCTAGCATAACTGACCATCAGGAACTCCTGAAGCAAAAAATATGCTTCTGAAATCTCAGTGCCATACAGCGCTGGGAAAGCCATTGTGCGCCATGTTACAGTTCACTCTTGAACTACAGTGCAAGCTCTGTTGTCTTCTGCTGAGCAAACTGGTTTTTGTTGCCCTTAGTGATCCATTAATTAAAGAAGAAAATTGCTTTTGTATGGTCTAAGTCTGCAGCTGTTCATATTGTCACATAGAACTCAAAATCCCTATAACTTGCCAGCGTCAAGTCTGGGACTTAGAGTACCTTAATCTCAATGTTTTACTAAGGATTTCTATTTTAGATACTCTCACAGAATTTTTTTTTTTTTTTTTTTGTACCAGCATCGTTACCTGTGCTTGTCTTCTCTTTTGTTAAAAAGTGCTCTGACTTTATTCCCTGTGATGGCTTTTGACCTAAACAGAACTCTCTTTATTTGCCTATTGTTAGATGTCTGCAGAGCTGTCCTGATGACTGGGGGGATATCAACAGCTAGAATGCATCATAAATCACTTAAAAGGAAGGGAGGGGAGATGGGAAGATTCTTGAGAGATCACCTATCCCTTCCTCCTGCTACCAGACTCTTCTGATAGATGTTTATTTTGCTTTCCCTTAATACTTTTTTAAAGGAAAACTCATACCCTCTCTAGCTGGTTCACCTCTTCAGATATCCCTACCATTTGAGGTTTTTCCTATTTTCTTGGCCACTGATAACTGGAAATTGCAGTTGCAGGGACTTAGAAATTGAATTTCTTTCTGTATCCACTTAGAAATAACTTTTAAATTAACTTAATATATTAATCTATTCCTCTTTTTATATGCCTGTTATTTCATACAAACAGTACTGTCCATTATTATATCCACTTAAATGTTAAGAGGTCAGAAAATCAATAACATTAATTCTTCCATGGTGGAGATACCATTTTCACAGAATGAGTCACTTAATTCAGTTGGCCAGTGAGTTGTTAAAGTCCAATAAGATCTATAACCCTTATTACTGTGTTTTTAGCACTGTGGCACATATTTTCCTGTCCTAACATCCAGGTAGCTTACCTGAATCATTTATTTTTGGTTTCATTTTATAGGAGGACTTGTATTATGATCTGCTTCATCTATCTGAGTCTATTATGAGCAATTTCACCTGCTGTGTTTAAAATTCACAGCAGCAGCATTTATAGAAGAGTTCTTGTTTTTAAAGAAAAGGAAATCAAAATGTTGTCTGTTTGAATGTGTTCTGAGGATGTAGAACATCTGCCTCTGCTGTTCAGCAGAACCAGTGCCCCTATGCATTAATCCTCCCTGTTCCTTTAAAAAAAAAAAAAGTTATTTTGTTGCTGTTCTGCCTGCAAAGTCAGCCCATCCAGGGAGGAATAACTCAAATCCTCTTCCTCCTTGTGTGTTATCAGCAGAGTTGCTTTGCTGAGTTTGTCAGTTACACAGTGTAAGTCCATTGGAGACTGCTAGGATGCATGTGCCTTTTCATGGGCACAGACTCGAGACAATGGGATTTTGAGGTGTCATTTATCTTTCAGGTGTGACTGTCTTGCAGAATGTTTTGTTACTAGTAACAGGATTGAAAGGTCCAACTGGAATTTGGAGATCTAGTAGAGGTGCAGATGATTATATCAACTCACAGTTCCACTCTTTCAGTTACTTGCCAGAATAGAAACAAATGTAAACAGTGTTGAAGTCTGTGAATTTCACAGAAGATGCAAGCAGATGAAGCCATGGTGTGGCCCAGGTACATGCTACCAATTGTGTATCCTAGGGAGCTGGCCAGGACTGAACTCTGAAGGGCAATGACTCCTTTGGCAATTAGTACTGCAGACAAACGCAGAGCAATATAAGCTGCAGCTTTCCAAAATTAGCACTAAGCTCTGTGTTTGGTGTTGATTCCCTGACTGCCTTGAAATGTTCAGCTTACACTTGCTGTGCATAGACAGTGTAATGCCTCTGGTATCCTGCTGCTGTTAGTTCACTCAAGGAAAACTGCAGTCTTGATATGTGTACTTCAGTGTAAGCTTTTATGTACCCATGCTGAGGTAAGGCCAGCAGGGAGAAAAGGAATGCCCCTTTTTTTGGCTTGTAGCTTGGCTGGAGTTAAAGAGTTGGAGAGTATTCGATTACTTTGAGGTAATTAAATTGTTAATAAAAAGTGGATTTGAAAAATAAATGGTTATTTTCTACAACCTACTTAGTTTTCAGTGGTCTGATCAGGATGCATTTCCAGCATGTATCAGCATACTGAAATACAGTGTAATTAAAAACTGCATTAATTAATCAACTCTACAAAGCTAAGTTCATTTGTTTGTGTGGAGCAGATGGTTTCACTTGTCCATTTGTTCCTACTTGGGAAGCTCCTAGAGAGCAGGGATTCTATGTGCTGTATGACTTTCTTCTCCTCCTCCCCTCCCACCAATTTTGGGAAAATGATTGCTCTTGCGCAGAAGTAAAGCCAGAATAGGAGACAGTGCCATAACTGTTACTGCTACTTTTCTGGCACAACAGTTTTATCAGTCTTCTCATCTCCCTAGAGTAAGGCCAATGACCTATTTATAGTGACAGGTATAAGATATGGAAAGAAAAATGCTGGTCACGCAATATTCACTGTGTGGAGTGGTACTGTAATCCCTCTTGCGAAAGGGGGCATCCCAGGTTTCTGTAAAGAAGGTACTTGTGGTACTTCTCAGGCTGCCTTACTTCTCCTGGATTTTTCAGATCAAGTTTTGGACAGAAATGTTATTTATAATTTCTGGCTAAACAATTGCCAGCTTCTCTTCCCCACCACAGCTGTTTGAGCGCAGCCTATGCAGATTTTCTTAACTGCTGGAGCAGTGGGCTTGCAGTGCAGTGAGCTGCTGAAGTGTAAGCAGCTGGTGTCTCAGAACGACTCATGCAGCCGGTGCATACATAACCCTCTGCTTTTAGGCTTGCGCTAGCAGCAGCACTGTGCTGGCCCAGTTCATTCACAAGGTGTTCATTTGTTCTTTGTTGACTTTAGGTCTTGCTAACCACAGACTCAGTGCAGCACGTGTGTGTTGAAGTAGATGCATAGACAGTTTTTAATGCCTCAGAGATTCTCTGTGGGAGTCAAGTGAAAATGTTTGCCTAAGACAAATTTGTGTAGGAGGTGACTGCAACTGGTGTGGTGGCAGAAACAACAGGAGTGAAGTTGTCCTGTGGAAATCAGAGTTGGCAGTAACTGTAATCTTTTCAGGGGTTCTTGGTTTACTTAGGGTCTTGGAGGGCTGACAAACTCCTGACCTCAGTGGGGACTGTTCTGGTGTTAGATCTTATGGTAAATCTATTTGTGAGGATACTAGTATGGGGAAAAAAACCATCAAACACCAAAAATCTGGGCCTGTGTCCTCACCTGCCAGAGTCCCTGACTGCTTTTGTTTTCTTGTGTAATGTTCAGCAGTCAGCTGGGTGAATAATCCTATTATTTCACCTCCTTTCCATGCAGAAAATTGGGGACTCGTACCGCGGCTATTGTGTGAGCGAGACAGAATTAGAGAGCGTTCTAACGCTACACAAGCAGCAAACACAAAGTGTGTGGGGGACGCGCCAGTCTCCAAGCCCAGCCAAACCTGCCACACGGTTGATGTGGAAATCTCAGTATGTCCCATATGATGGGATCCCCTTTGTCAATGCAGGTAACTAACTTTTATTTTAATAACTACTTTCAAAATTTCAACATCAGTTGCTAACTGGCCATAAAGAAGGATCTTTATGGTGTTCCTTAGTGTTGGTAAAGTCAAGGCACAAACATAAAAAAAGAGCAGCTTGGGCACCTCCATGACACAGTCTGAAGGAGCTTGTTTCCCTGAAACCACGGGCTTATGTTTTGTTGTGATTATTTCCTTTTGTTCTTTAGAAATAAATTACTAAGTACCATTTGATGGGGTTTTTTGTGATGAGATCTTTAGGTGGAGATCCCATCTGCTCCATCAGGATGTGAAAGTTCTCGTAAGGGTAAGAGCTTGTTTGAGTATTCTTGCCTAACTTGGAGATCCTTTGAAGAGTTTGTTCCGCAGGAGTCAATAAACTATTTAAGTGGCACCCTTTAAAAAAACTAATTAAATTTAAAAGACAAAATAAACTGCAACATATGTCAACAGGCAGATTTTTGGTTTTTAAAATGAGTGTGCAGACTTCACAGGTTGGTAATTTAGCTCATGCAATGCATATGTGAGATTACTAAAGAGTTCATTCAGATATGAAATGAACAGGTTTTAATTGTTACATAGGGATCATGAATGACTGGAATGTAGGTTATGTGCTTGTTTTTTTCTTTTTTTTTTTTTTTCCTGAAAGTAACTGAAAAAGTGAAATGTTAGCACCAGTTTTAAAGCTTCAGCCATAAACTGTGAGGTATAAGAAAACTAAGAACAAAGCCAAAACAATTTACACTTTTATTTTTTCCTCAAAATGTATATGAGACATCTTTAGTTCCCTCTAAGATTTGCCTGATAAATTAGTTGCCCCACAGTATGATATTTAGACCAAAAACACACATAGATTTTTTTTTTCTTTAAAATGTTGTAGACTAATAGAGACTCACATTATTAAATTGTAATATTTTTTCGCTTTGCTCAGACCTCCAAACAGGCATTGGGTATATTTTTAACATGTTGCCTTTCCAATACATTTAGGTTTAGTTTATAACTCCTCTATGAAGAGCATTCATTAAAATCCTTTACACCTGTAGAGCAGAGGCTGTAAATGTGATTTACTGAACTGCAGTTTAAATCCCAGATAACTGAATTCTGAACAGTGCAGGACAAAAGTGGTATTTTTGAGGAACTTATCCCTTCTGCATAAGTGTAACCAATCTGTAATACCTTCCCTGCTGTGCTTCAGCTGTGGGAAGGTGGCTAGCTTCCTGTAGTGTAAAACATGCACTAATCATCAAAATCTTGTTTGTTATTTTTAGTAAGAATTTTGGATAGTTGATACTTTCATAAAACAAGGGCCCCATCAAATTGCTTTTGAGATTCATATTAGCAAGGACTAGTTTAAAGCTGTTGAAGTCTTTTCAATCCTAGAACTTGTATTTTGTTCTTGAAAAAGAGACAAGATATCTGTTTGTTATACATAGTTCTCTTTTAAATTTCCTATTTCTTTATTTGCATTGATTTTTTTAAGTTGGTTTTTTTGTGTTTTTTTTTTTAATGTCACACTCTAAGGCAATAAAACATTGGGTATCTTATGGAAACACATTATGTTGCTGTTGTGGTTCTTAAAAAGGTTTTGGTTATATCACTTGTTGTATAGGCAGCTCCTTGCCTGCATACTGGAGTATATGAATTATAAATAAAAAATAACTAAACGTGACGTGGAATAAATTGGGAAGAATTTCTTGACCACTTTAGTGCTATGCCTGTTACCCCTTTTGTTAGAGGTCTGACTAGAAGTTGTCACTTACTTCAAGTTAAGAGCTAAGCAGTATTTCTTTAAGCGTGTCTAGTTTTGTGTGGGTATGCCACACTGAAACAGTGTTATTTAGCAGATAAGAGAGGCCAGACTTGCAAGTAAGAATTTATGGGACAGCATGGTCTGAAGTATTCATTTGAGAGAGGAGGCTGGAAATAGCTGCTGACCTTTGATTTCAGATGTGGATTTTCTCAGTTATTTGGGGGATTCTGCTTCTCTTATGTTTCTTACCAGCATTGTGCTCCTTTGGTCACTTGCAAGGCTGCTTATCTTGTAAAGCATTGGTGTTCACCAGGGCAGAATCCAGTATTTTTCCTTCATATATGTTGCAGGTGTGTTGTGAGGTATAATATGTTTGGGAAGTGCTTTGGAAATGCTCTGTATTCCTTACATGCTGTGAGAGAAGCATTTGCACTGTATTTGAGTGCTTGCTACACTTATGTGTTCTGCCTTCTGAAGAGTTTGATGGTAAACAGAAATAACTCTTTTGGAACTCTCATCTTTTCTGTAGTTACTGTTTTACTGTAATACCTTCAGTGGTTGCTTGAATAAATAGAGTGCATTACTTTCCATTCCCAGGAAGCAGAGCCATTGTAATGGAGTGCCAATATGGACCAAGGAGGAAAGGGTTCCAGCCCAAAAAAGCTGGTGAGCAGGAAAGCGTCTCTGGCCATCTGTACAAAGCCACTTGTCCAGCAAGGTAAGAATTGTCTATAAAGCTGGAAGAGCTACTCAGCATCCTAAGAAAGCCTTCTTTCTGTGAGTCTTGACGGAGCACTCTTTGGGGGTGGTAGCTGATATGCACTGTAGCTCTTAGCTTCATCTCCTTGTTAACCTGAGGTTGATACTCATTTAGAGAGGAGGAGGAAATGCTGTCCTGTTAAACTGAGTAAGGCTGAGATTTGATAGGTTGCCTGGTTGCAAAGTAGCAGTACATCAGGATGTGGAGTACAAGTGGGAATCATTCTCTACCTAAGCATTAGTTACTTATTGTGGTGTCCTATAGTGACCATTTTTGGTCCTAAAACTTATTTGTCATCTTATTTGTTGTTTTTCCTTCAGGCTTTTAATTGCACTCATATCAGCCAATCATCCTAATTTAGTAGATGTTCTATTTGCTGAAGGAGTTACAGTTTTTCCTGTTCACTGGGGACTTTCTCCTTGTCCAACGCTAATGGGTTTTTTAACTTGTCCTTGAGCATTCTCCTGGGTGCTTGTTCAGTTTTTATTGAGCTAAGAGTGTGTTTACCTGGACAGTTGCAGCTAGGTATGTATGTGCTCACTTCTGGCTTCAAGCTGGGTGAACTACAACCTGTTCAGAATGGTGTTGTGTTACTATACTGAGGGACAGAGGGTTTTTGCTGAGGTGCAAAATGACTCTGGCTGAGTGGCTTCCAGATTGGAACAGAAGTGTGTCTGTCTGCATCCATCTCTGTTGATGTGTCCTTAACAATTCTACAGTTCTCTTAGAGGCTTTTCACCCCCTGCAGCACTCTGCTTGAACTTTTTCTATACTAATATCTGATATGAAGTAGGTGGGGGTTTTATCTTTGCTCCTTGAGGGCAAAGTATACTGAAAAAAAAATTTTTTTTTTCCCCCCCCCCCCCCCCCCGCCCTCTTGGCAGGATCTATATTAAAAAGGTTCAAAAGTTTCCAGAATACAGGGTTCCTACTGACCCTAAAATTGACAAGAAAATCATAAGAATGGAGCAGGAGAAAGCATTCAACATGCTGAAGAAGAACTTGATAGATGCTGGCGGTGTCCTCAGGTGAAACTTCCATTTTTTTCTTTATCTTGACAAATGAAGCAAAAAAGAGCAATAATTTTCTTGGTTTGATTTATTTTTTACTTAGTCACTTTATTAAGGCTCTTGCTTAATATCAATAGTAAAAAATCCCACAATGTCAGTAAGACTTATGTGGCTTTGGAGTATTAATATGGTAAATGTGTTAAGCACCAAGCTGTGGAACTTCAGCAGATGTTTTCATGCAGGAAATAGATAGAAATAGTTTTATTTGGGGGTTTGAGCTGGTTTATTTTGCATTGAAAGGTGTGAGAGGGCCCTGAGCTCTGAAAGGCAGTATCTTCCAGCTCAGGGGCTGTAAAAACTTAAGTCAGTCTAACTAGGTTGTTTGTGATTGTCAGTCTGTTCCCCCATTTTTTGCCTTTGCTTGAGAATCGTGTGTAGAAACTCTTTCCTTCTTGCCAGGTGGTATGTACAGTTACCCACTCAGCAAGCCCACCAATATCATGAAATGGAAACTTCCTGCCTCCCTTCTTCACCGTCCCATTTGTCTGTGTCTTCTCCTGAGGAGGAGGAGGAAGTTGTTAGAGATGAGAACTGTACTCTGCCTTCCCGACTTCATCCTCAAGTGGCAGACAAGATCCGAGAACTGGTGTCTCAGGGAATAGAGCAGGTCTATGCAGTGAGGAAGCAACTAAGGTACACAACTGTCTGACATGCTCTCAGTCTGTAGTGCTGTATCTACTTTTGCATTTGATTAATTTGGTTTGCAACTGAATGGCAGTGCTGATGCATTACTGAGAATATTTCCTATATGTCATGAGAATCTGTTTTTCCCAGCTTTTGTCTCCTCTTTCCATTTTATTATAGGTAGCCACTAAGAGCTGCTGTCCTCCTAACGTTAGTTGAATAAATGGGGATTTTTAATTCAAAACTCTGTAGCAGATGCACAAAGAACTGGGTCAGAAGATCATCTAGCTTGCTCTTGTCATTGCAACAAGGGGAGGGAGAAGGTAGCAGTGTCTATAACAGAGAGAGATAGCACAATATATTTTAAATACACACATTTTAATGTCCTTTAACATGTGACAGAAAGTATGTGGAAAGAGAATTATTCAAGCCTGATGAAGTGCCAGAAAGACATAACCTGTCCTTCTTCCCCACTGTGAATGACATCAAGAACCACATTCATGAAGTGCAGAAATCCCTGAGGAATGGTGAGATGGTGTATAATTCAGAAAGTATCCCAGCAATGGTACGTTGGCCTTTGTGTTTCTTTTTGATTTTTGGAGTTAAATACTGGAAATCTTATTTTAAATTTTTACCACTTAGCTGTATTTCATCCAAAATGCTCTATGACTTTATATTTCCAGCAGCAATATTTTCAGTGGAATCTCTGGCTGAGCAAGATTGGATTAAATGTGACTAAAACCTTCTGACCTTATTTGGTATTTATCTCATCAGCATTCGATTGCTATTAGTTGATTGAAAAACTACAATACTAGCACTTCATGATGACTGCATTAACTGAAAGCCATGTGGTGTAGAAAAACTGGCATGCATCAGAAAATTTTATTCATGGCTTTGTCATTGTCTGTGTTTTGGAGAGGTTACTACTACTTTCCTGTATCTGAAAAATGGGGATGAAGTATGTCTCAGGCAGTCTAAATTAGGCCTTGCACAACATTTTGAATGTGTAAATATTAATAAATGTACTTTATAGCAAGTGAAGTAAGCATGAAGTAGGTACTTCAGGATGCTCGGTAACTCTGACGTGTTGTTCCTTAATTTTCTTCCACCTATTGAGTAATAAGGGATACACAGTGACCCTAGTTTTCCCAGTTACAAGGCTGACTGCTGAAGAATTGCTGATTTAAAATCAGCTTTGACAAACTGTACTGTTAAATCATGCTGTCATGAGTCTTTTCCCTCTCCCTACACTGCTCTTGGCCCAGGTGAGTGAGTGATACTTGTTAGTTAGCCAAATGGTTTGACTATTTTATATTTTAAAGTCTTTGAATTGTCATGAGCAGACTTTAGCCTTCCTGATATAATGCATGTTAAAAAATCTTTTACAGTAATTTTTTTTTTTTTTTTGTAAACCAAGAGCTCCCAAAATGCATGGTTGTAAGAAAGTGTTGGTTTAGACACTGTTTTCCTATGGGTCCTGTATTGAGCCTATGTTCCTGTAATAGATAAACTTGCACCCTTTCTGAGAACTGAGGTCTTTTTCCTTTCAGCTGCAGTGGACCACAGACAGTGGGAATGTTCTCACAGAGACAGTGACTGTTACATTTGCCTCACCACCTTCAGATGGTAGGACTGCATTAATAACTTAGCTGTCTCCAAATGTGATTTGTTTTATTAGCTATGTCACAGAAGTTCAGTTTCCTTTCAGAGAGGTTGCTGTCATGTTCTGTCACTCAGCTGAACTTAAGAAGGATTATTTTGGTGTGTCTAATTTGACATACTTTTTTTTAACTATTTGACTGCATGTGTGGAAAAATACGTGTAGTCATGATGGGTTTGGTAGAAGTATGAAAATTATAAATTTGGCTTTTATTTAGCATCCTCAAGTGACTGAAGATTTTAATGGGATGGTTATGTGGAAAGAACATCTTGTCTTAGATGAAGGTGCATAATAACACCTGTGTAGAGAGAATTAAATTCCTACTGAACAGCTATATCTGTCAGGGCACACAACACGCAGGAGCCAACTGGGTACTTAAGTTCCTTGATGGTTTGTGCTTCACACATGCTTAAACATCTTGCTAAAAAGGACTTGAATGCATATTGGGTTTCCTGCTTCTCACAAAGTCATTGGCTTGATGAGTTCCACTGCTAGGTTCAGGCCCTGAAAAAGGAATGCTGTATTTCTGTTGCCAGAATTGAGAGCACTGTTTTCCATTTTTCCTTAACGCTTAGAACAGAAATAGAAACACAGGTGTTTAGTGGCAGCAGAGCTGTGAGATATGTTTTTTCAGTTCTTTATGTGGTGTAACCTCTTTATTAATATGTGAAGCTAAAGTAGCATCTCTTCCCAGCAACTGCTGAGCCACCTAACAAAGTGTTAAACTTCCTCCTACTCTGCTGCAAAACCAGAGTGTAGATAGTGTAGATTTCTACAGAAACTTGATTTTATGTGTTCATGGTCAAAGGTTTGGTTTTTTTGAAGACACTGGTTACACTACTTTTCCTTTGTTGAAAGTGGGTTCCTACTACTATTACTTCAACTTCAAAACATGTACTAAACCAAAATACGGGTGTTTGTAACTAGGTCTACTTGCTACCCACATAGTTAGGATTACACATAGGCTGAGATGCTCTGCTGGAACATGGTAACTGATAATAAATTTAAAATGAGAGATGATTGTGCCCTTTTCCCCAGGTTTCAAGGATATTTTGTCTACTGTGACACCAAAAAAACTTTTCTGCATGTTTGTGGATCCTTTCCCCATCCCTTGTTTAATAGGTTTGTTATGAAACTCATCAGAAAAGTTGTTGGCTTTTAGCAGGGATATGATTGAAGCAAGGTGGAAGAGCCTAACTGTTTGCATACATTAAGATAATGCTGCAGACTTCTTATATGTTTTTAATCTCAGTGGTGCTGCCAGCTTGTTTTCCCATTTAACTGGAACATGGTTGTGGGTACTTTTTGTTCCAGACAGCTGATAGAGAAGTCTAGAGGGACCAAAGGGACACTGCCACAGTTGTCATGTTTAAAGACTTACTCATGTCAACAGTTATCCTCCACTGTGGTTCTTGCCTGAAGAAGTCCTGATGTGTTTGGGTTTCTTTCCCCTTTGGCCCCTGTCACTTCATGACCTATTTCTTATCTTTGTTGTAGCAGGAAATATAAACCCCCAGAGGTTTGGCTCACTGTGTGATTTCTCCTAAATGACTTGGTGAACCTAATTTACATGGAGCTGTTCCATGCACACCAGTGCACTTACAGTTAAAAAGGCCAATATTGGGCTTTGTTTTGTTTGGGATTTTTTAAACTCTTATTTTAGCTGTTGCTGCAATGGATCAATTTGAACAGAAAAGCATCATGTATGCTTGGTGCTCTTAGGGCAAGAATTTCAGTCTTGACAACTGTCAGAGGACAACAGGTAAATTTTTAGGCTCAGTTTGAATTAGTGTCCCTCTTTTTTAAGGAAGTCATGTTTTTTAGGAAAAAAAGGAATTTGCAATATGAGCAGACTTACCGTGCTTAAACTTGCATGTCTATGTTAATATTTCTATTACTGTGCTTTTATGGAGAGACACAGAATAGTTGTGCCTTCAACAGCTGTGATAGAGCTCAGCAGGGATGACTTTTGGTATGAACTGTCTGAATGCTGGCGAAGGTTCAGGAAGACCAATTCTTGCTTTCTTTGTCTTTCACAGATAATTTTCTAAGGCAGTGTAGCCTATCGAATGTGTAAACATCTATCCAGTGACATACTGAATTTTAAAGGAAGCTAGAGAATTGGATTTGTTCAGTTTTCTGCATATGTGCACCAATTCGGTGAACATAAGCAGTTACTCTAATTCCAGTATATCTTGTCTTCCCTTATATATGTGGGTATGTGTTTGTACACATTGCAAACACATGTTTATAATTGTAATACAAGTCTAAGCAAAAAAAGAAGCCTGACTGAAAAAATCGGCTCTCATTAATTTATGTGAAGTGGTAGCAAGGGAAAACACTGTCTTTTCAAACTTTTGTGTGTATATGGGTTTTTTTCATTTTAACTTGTGCTGAATGGGGACAAATTTACATTTAAGAAACCAAACAATAACAGAACTAAACCCAGCTGTTTGTTTTCTTGTTGCGCAGAACTCCATATCACTATATGATACAGCTTTCTCTGTTCTCTCCTCGGTGTAAGAATCACTGTAACTATCAAACTTAAGTGTGCTCCCTTTTACATCTTTTATGAAGTATAATGACAAGTGAGGTAAAGTACCTGTGTGTATATATATATTTGGGGCTTTTTAACTTCTGGCATTCATACTGAATGCCCATGCAGTCTAAGGAGTGGTTAGATTAGGAGTTGAACTATTAGCTTTATTCCTAGGCATGTTGGTGTAGAATACACTAAGGAAAGAACTACCATCTCTTCCTACATGTGAATATTCACATATGCATATGGAATCTCTGTATAGTGTTAAAAAGAGCCTAAATATTTGAAGTAGTTGTGTTCAAGAAGATTTATAGAATGTATTTTATGGTCAGTTACAATAAAGAGTTAGAGTTTGCATATAGGTATATGTGTTGCAAAATGTATCTCTACTCACTTAGATTGCTGGAAACTTTTGTATGATTTCCTGTTAGAAAACTGTTTGCAATTGGCCATTCTCAATTTTTTTCCATTCACCAGGCTAATCTACGTGCACAGGGCAAGGTCGTCTTTTACAGTTATAGCAGTGAAACTGCAAAACAAGAGGCTAAGCAATGTCTGCTTGTGTCTGGATAAATCTTAACCAAAATGTTCTGGGTGGCTCAAACAGGAAATGGAATGATCCCATGGGAATTTTTCTTGCAGAAATTGCTACAAGTGAATACTAATTTTTACAAATCTTCAGGAAATGAAGTCCATCATTCTTGCATTAATAAGAATTTTGAGGATATGATGTAATCTGTAGGCTGAAAGGCCTCCAGATAAATGGACTTTTGGTGAGATATTGCATAGAAGTTATCCTAATTCCATGAAGATGTTTGGAAGGGAGTGGTGAGGCTTAGAGGATTTCCTGCGTAGATTTTTGTTTTGGAAGACAGCCCTTTCTTTTGATGCCTGTCTGTTTCTGAGCCCTTACTGAGGTGTATGTATTGTCAAATTATTTGATTGCTGCTTTGATAGAAATGTTTCAGCTTTTATGTTATAACTAGAAATTCAAAGTACAGTGTGGGGTGCAATTACTTTGCTCTCCACAATGGATTTATTGGTACTTCTTTTTTCACTCTGAACAGGCACATACAATCTTCCTACAGCGTTGTCTTTTTCTCATACCCAGCCTTTTTTCTTTACCATCCAAGTTCTTCTGCAAAGAGAACAGCATATATGTATATATATACATGTCTTTTATATGTCTATATGGAGATTGAAGGGGTTTGTTCAGTTTGCAGGGGAAGCTTTTAAACAGGAAGAAGAAATTTGTCATAACTGCTTCCTCTCTGTGGCACTGTAGGGAGCTCAGCAGGGGAGTCAGTTGTCACCAAAGCAGAATCCAACCAGAGCGGGGAGTCCTTACTACCAGAAACAGCTCAGCTGTTGTCTTCACTCTCTTCAATTCAGCCCAAGATATTTGCACAACTTCAGGTACAGTCAAGTTGTTTACAGAACGTCAAACGTTGTGTGCTGGGAATGCTGAAGGCGAGCTGAGAACTGCAAGTTCCCTCACAGCTAATGACCCAAACACTGGCTAGGTAACGTGGACTTTGAAATAGCTGTCAGCTCTTATGTTGGCCTCTCTTGCATGTCACAGAGCATATAGCTGTGGTGCAGGAGATCCCACTACCATCTTCTGACACTTGAAGTTAGGGTCTTTTGTGAAGGCAAAACTAAGAGGATGAAGGTAGTGGGTTTCTGCCTCAAACCAAGCGTCAATTCATTTTCCACATGGTCCAGTCTTCATAATGAAGATGCTGGAAAACTGAGGGGGGATAATTCAGTCTTATTTATTCCTTTAAAACCTCCTCCAGCCTCTGAAGAAAATATGTTAAAATCCTAAAACTGCTTCCAGCTCAGATCTGTAAATTTCCAGGCTGAAAGGCTGAAGAGTGGGGATAAGAATGTCATGCTAAAAGAGCTTCTTCTAAAGTTCACCTTCCTTCAAAGCTGGTTCTTATAGCCTTCTTCCCTAACTACTTATTTGAAAAGCTACCTTCATGCTTCTTGAACCCCAATGAAATGCATGATCTCTTCCCTAGAAATATAGTCTGCAGTAAGGTGCTGTTTTACTTGCTGTTTCCCTCTCTTTCTCAAGACAGCCTGGCTCCACCTCACTCCCTTTTTTTTTTCAAAGCAGTATGCTTAGCTTTTAGTGCCCACCTCTTGTGGAAATGGCCAGTATCAGGGAATGATTTGAAACCAAATATCAATCCAAAATTAGAGCTTTATGGTCATAAGCAGTCTTCTAGATGCTGCTGGATACCATTGTCCTAATTGTTTTCTAATACAACTTTAACCTAGGGTTGCGGGGATTGACTGTTCAAAAGAGATGATGTATTGGAAGTCAGAAGCTATCCAGTTCCAGCATTCCAAAATAAGTGCCATTAAATGCAAATTCCTCCTGCTGTAAATACTAGTATGTTAGTTCTTCTGCCTTCTCTTTCACAGGGATTACAGCTGCAGTCAACTTTTACCTCCACAAATGGATCAACAGCCCTGATAGCTGTAAATAACCATTCCCCTCCCAGCCCTGCAAGTCTCCTGGATTCCATAGGGAGTGCAATAACCAGCCATTCTCTAGTACTCAGTCAAGGACACAGTCTGCAAGCAGGTGCTGGCCTAACACAGCATAGCACTGCTGCCTCTGCTTTTGGGGCTCCGCCTGGCTGTGATCAGAGTTTGGTCACCATGGGCCAGTTGGTAGCAGTTGGAGGGGTAGATGACTCCAGAAGCCTAGAAGGAGGAGTTCATCAGATTCTCCTGGGAGATGTACACACTATTCCAGTACAGATTGTGGACAGCCATCCAGCACTTAGTAAGTTGCAGTCTTCCCAATAATATGTAAATAAAGAAAATATGGTGGATTTTGGGTTTTGTGTGTCTTGAAGAAAGGAGAGAAATGTGTTGATAATGGGGAACTCCAGTGTAGACTTCTTTCAGCTGATTCTAATTAGTTTTTACTGTGAAAACATGCTGAGTGTAAAAAAAAACAAAAAACAAAAAAAACCCTTTAGTTTTTGCTGTAAAAAGATGACTTCTTAGTTAAACTGCTTATCACTTTCTTTGACCAATTACCAACTTATTTGATTAACACAATATTTTTGTCAAAAATCCTAATATTTAGCTAAAATTATGATCTTCAAAATAATTTTTTTAAAGGAAAAATAAGAATAGAAAATAGCCAATACTGAATCTAGTTAGAGCTCTTTGGAAAGAAATGTGGGGGTTTTGGTGACTTCTTTCTTTGCACCATCCCAGCAGATTTTTGAATTTTTTAATAAACTTTTACTAGGATCCTGTAGTCATCAATATGCTTTAGCAGTGATCAGTTGGAGTTGTACATAATCGCTTGGAATTTCAAACTTCTATTTCAAAATACTTTTAAAAAAATACACAGTAAACACTATAAATAAATAACTTTCAAAATAGAAGGCTCCTTAAAACCATTGTTATCAAATATAGATACAGTCTTTGAATTCTCAGCCATGGAACCTGACTAAGAATGAAAGCTTGCATTCTCAAAGAATGATTTCTAATTCTTGGTGAAGAACACTTATTAGATACGGAGCATATATAGATCATTGCAACATAATCTTTTGACTTTTCAGGGAGTCTAAAATGTTAGCCGTGCAATGCTTTATTATTTCTGTATTATCTTTTCTTGTCATCTATGACTTCTAAAAAGATGACTCTTGAGTAGTTTTGCAGGAACATGTAGGTAAAGATGTGCTAGATCATAGCCTACACCTTTGTAATGCCATAGCAATAATTATCTCCATATGTCCTGATGACTTTCGCAGGTCAGCAAAACTTAATTTGTACTAAATTCTGTAATATTCTGAAAATGGAAATATAAGACTAGATGAAGAAGTAAAAAGGAAATAAAGGGTACATGAGGAAATATACTGAAATTAATAAGTGTTAAAGTAATATTGGGATATTTTACTGTGGCAGTATGATCAAATTTAAGGGATTTTCTGCCTGCTATACTCATGTTTGTGTAACTGGTTGTTTTCCCTTTTATAGTTGAATTTGACTAATTTTCTGAGAAATTCTGTTTTCATTCAGGGTAAAAGAATTTCAGAGAAGTTATCAAATTTACCTCATCCATTCAGTTGTTTAACCTATTTGTTCAATCTAGATGTTGATGCCTCTCAAAAATTTTTGTAAGTGATGAGTGTTGTAAGTGAATTTTTAAAGAAGTACCATTAGTTTACACAAAAAGAAATGTAGTCAAATATAAAATTCTATAACTGCAAGGACTAAACTCACTGTTCCTTTGGGATTTCCTTTTTGTTTTTTTTCTGGTCAAGGTCTCAGTCTATCATCATCAGCCTGAATTTGGAAATTGTGAGAATATTGGTGCCATTCCTAAGTTATGTGGAGGAGTTGCCTATAAAATGCACAGATACTTTTTTTTTTTTCAGAGGCAAGTTCTTTGTCTGGAGGAGGACAAAAACCAGTCTAGACTGAAGAGGGAATAATGTTACAGAGCTTATTTGGAGGAAGAACCATATACTTGAAAGTAGCAGTTCAGTCAGTGTGTATTTCAAGATGTTTTTTTCTCCTCTGTGTGTGCATACACTTACGCACATATGCGCTTGGTTAAAATTATCCCGTACATTCTGGATTTTCTCTCATCCAAGTGCTAACTTAAGAATAAGCTATTTCCTGCTGAAAATATATGTGCAGTCATTGAGAAGTATAAGTGCCTGAAGCGTAAGTCATTCTCTAAATCAACATGCTTTAATTTTTGCAGCAGCAGCACCTCCGTTCCTCCTTTTCCCTGGAAAAGAAAAAAAAAAAGTAAGATGGTAGCTTTATTTTTCCATGGGAAAGAGGAAAGACATCTTCTGTGAGAGTAATTTTGTATCTCCAAACATATTTTTTTTTAGAAGATGTTTTAAATACTCTTACTTGAGGGGGCCCTTACTGCTGTGAATTCATATCAACTTGCAATGCCTTATAGCACAGTAGATGACATAACTGGCTGTCAAACTAAACAGCAGTTAACTTCACAAATGCTTTACCTATTAGCTTGAGTTCCTGAAATATTTTTTCTTTTAAATGCATACAGTTATTGGGGCTGAAGCGTTATCAGTGTAGTGTGAACTTCAATGTTTTATTTTTGTTTTCTTTTTAAGCTGAAGAAAATGCAGAGGGTGTTACCTGTGTGAGCCAAGTTAAACAAGAGCCAAGAGAAAAAGCATTGTCTATGGAGCCAGATAATATCAGAGACTGCCATAGTTCCTCACCTATTTAAATCTGTGAAGCCTAGAAGGATTTTTCAAATCAGAGAACTCTATAAACGTCTTGGAAGGGAAGGCGGGTGCTCTCAAAGTAATGCCATTCTTTTTAAGTCGTATTGTGACATTCAGGTTAGGCATATTTTACACTAGTTCTGATGGCCAGCTGTTTTGATTTATGACTGATGTGGCTCGCTGCCAATTCCAGGTCATTCAGTTGCCCTGTGGAACACCACCTTTCTCTTCTGTTTCAAGTTTTGAGTAATTTGGATGCTATCCAAATGGCCCATTTTGGTCAACATTTCTGAAGGTCTTCCACAGTTTAATTCCTTAGCTTTAAAATGTGGATCACATGCTGGGTTTGGTTTTCTCCTTGAAACCCTTGACTGTTACGGCACTACAGAGACCATAGAATCTGCCAGCTCCAAGACCACAGAATCCAACAGCAAAGTGTATCAATACAGCAATGGTTTTGTGACAAAATGAAGGTCCAAGATGCTAAATTTCAAAGTGATGAAGGATGTGGATGCTTAAGAAAATGCAACTTTGACCTGATCATAATGTTAATGGTGCGAAGATCAAGGAGAGGAGAAAGGTGAGGTTGGCAGGTGAACGTAAGATTGTATGATGAGGAAAAGTGTATGAATTGTAATGGTGAATGTTTTCAACTTTGACATCTTTAAACTTATGTTCTGGCTTTATAATGAGGTTCATTGCTGCATACACCCTTTGCAGTGGTACTGTATTAGCAGTTGGTCATAACAACTAAATGCAGGAGGCTTGTCTCACGGAAAATGATTGATGCTGCCTTTTCAGGTTTTCTACCTTTTGCTTCATGCACTTACACTATCAGCTCAGATAAATATTATATAACCTGCTGCTGCTCATGATGTAGGCCTTACGGATGCATCACTAACAAAGAGAGGCCCAAGAAAACAAAGCAAATAATACAAATCCAAGCGGTATGTGCAAGTGTGCTGTCTCTATAATATTCAGAAAACAAACTCATCTTTTTCAATGGCGGCAGCTTCTAGGACCAAAGTGGTCTGTATTACTTAAAATAATTACCAGGAATCTTTAAAAAACAGAATATGATAAATATCTTTTAGCAATATTTAAGCCAAAGCCATAATAAGTGACAAGCACTGAGCTGCATAATCTGACAGACTTGTTTCTTTAAGGAAAAAAAGATACATCCACAGATAACTTGGAATCCGTTTAAAGCAGTGAATTAAATGCAATTGATGCCAACATAGATATCAAGTTAAACAATAACATTGTTTGCTTCAGATGTTGAATTCTTAGAGCAACATTCAGAGTATTTTGTATACAGCAATATCAGTAGTTCTGTTACTAGTTCCTACTAAGTGGTTGAGAACTTCATCATAAAATTAGGTATTTTTTTCTGCATGCTGTACAAGAATGCAATCTGAGGACTTTCTCTTTTTCAGACTTAAAAAAACAAAAACAGGAAAAAGATTGGCTCATTTATGCAGAGGAGAAAGTGTTAGGAATACTACATGAACATAAAGATTAACATTTTTAAATTGTTAAATTTGTTAACATGGTTTCAAGGCATTCACAAACATAATCTAAATAGTGGCCATTTAAAATTAATTTTAAATTTTCTTTTGAGTGTTTAAAACTAAAACTTTCAAAAGTCTCACATTGAACTTGGGTTCCTAATACCTTTATGTGCAGCATCTGTTAGGTAAGTGCTATATCTTAGTCTTACCTTAAAATATATTAACTTCTGTGAGGTTAACTAGCACTGTTAATGCTGTCCATTTAAAGCTAATGTTTATGGGTTAGCTTAAATTAGAATTTTCCAACAGGATCATGCTCTTATTAAATAAGAGTCAGTATTTTATCATGCAAGTGCATGGAGAATCTCCAGTTCTTTGGAGTCTCCCATACTTAGTTTCTACACTGACTGGTTTTGTGGTATGCCTTACTCATTTCTGGGGAGGTAAAATCCCACAAGGTTCACCCTTTTGCATTTTTTGTTGTTGTTGTTGTTGTTAATTGTGAAAATATGTCCAAAATGGATGTTCTCTGCTGCAGTTGTAGTTCCAGAGCGCACAGGCAGCAGTCACCTTTTTTTTTTCCAACTCAGTAACTATACACCAGAATGGATACCTCCTTCCACGCTGCTGTATTCAGTGATTCCATCACCTTTGGTTTTTCTTAAACTAATGCATTCCAAAGTATATTGCCTTTCTCAAATTACTTATTTTTTGAGAATTGTTCCTCATTTTTGAAAATGCTTATTCTCAAAAGCATACATTACAGCTAAAGATTAGCAGCAAGAGGTTATTTCAGTTTTAGTTCTCTTCAAAGCAGATGATACATTTGTGGTTGCAGTAAAAGCTTAAGGAAAGAGAAGTTACATTTCCATCGGTTCTTGCTTAGCTCCCTCATTAACAGATCTGTTCTTTAACTGTTACTGTTCTTCCCACCGTGAGCTACAGTCTCATCCTGTGCTGAAGAGTATTTCTGACCGTACTTCTATTTTTAGTTTAGTGCTCACAGCTGGAGGAAATACTCTTTCAGTCCATCTTGAATTGCAGGCTGTGAAATGAATTTTGTAATCTACCCTGAAAACAATAGAAGAAAAAGTTGGGAGATATTTAAAGAAACAGTAAAGAATTAGTTGTTTTTAAAAGCTGGGGATGAGAGTTGCAATTCTGTTAATCAAAAAATTTTATTTGAAATGCTTCTTCAGCCAATACTTGCATTTTTGTTTTCAATTTCCTTCATTTTCACAGAATTTCAGTTATTTTGTCTTCCAAATACATATTCCAGTTTACTACTGTGTTGTTTTTAATTTAGTGTAACCTTTCCTCTTTAAAGAGTATGTTTACATTTGTTTTGTGCATGTTGCTAATGGAGGAACACAAACTCATCACCCATATCCACTCTCTATATTCAGCTTAACACCTCAGTTCACTAATGTCCACAGAAAAGACTCTATTATGTATATGAAAAAATCACAAGTAAACAATACCACTTTCAATGCACTTAAATTTGTTTGCATAGAATACTCAAGGATGATTTTTCGGAGAAGGCTATATAGCTTGGTACAAAGTAGTTGGTTATTACTTTGTGTTGGAATTGTAGATGTTTTTCTGATGTTTACTTTGTTTTCTTGTGGTTGTTGTGTTCAAGCATTTATTTTGCAAACCTAGAAATCCTGAGATTCCACAGTACTGTAAATGAACAAATTATTCTCCAATTTAACCTTATTGTTGGTTACCCATAACAGTCATTGGTTGGCTTGACAAGAAGGGCTGTGTTTATGTATGTGCATGTAAAAATAATTTTTTGCTAAAATGTAGAGAAGACATAAAAGAGCACACATCCATAGCGCTTGTTCAAGGCTGGCAGTCTCTTGGATGGAAACCAGTAGTGTTAATGAGTCCTTTTCGCGCTGTTCAAAAATCAAGACTTGGTTGTGTGATATGAAGATTGTTGCAGTTTGTACAAAATTTAGAGGCAAATGTCTGTATATCTATGTGTATATATATATTTATATAGTAACTTAATGTATAATATTCCTATTCAAATGTAAACTACTTTTAAAGTAATGGTCTATGTTGTGGTTATGGGGGCTCATGGGGAGAATTAGAAGAGCTACATGAGGGCAGTGGTTTCTGGGGATGAAGGAGAACAAGTAGCACAGGTCCAGGGAGACCAGGTGGAAGAAGGTCCTGAAGATGTGTGAAAAGCAAGGGACCTGCAGGGAGGGCTGGAGGGGGCTGTGCTGGAGGGGTTCCAGGGCTTGGAAAAGGATTACGAGCCCATTGCAAAGGCTCAGTGCAGCTCCTGAATCTATGCCAGTAGTGGATAGGCTGAGTTCATGGTAGGAATTTAAAGTTATGGAAGAAGAGGGAAACCTGCCCTGCACTCAAACCCAACAGAGCTGCTTGAGTTTTGGTGAGTACCAGAGGCAGCTAAATGACCTCCTGTAGTCTGAGACACCTATTCTTATTTTTTAATATGAAGAAGCAACTCCTCTTGGACCTTCAACCCAGGAGCATAGACTCTTTTCCTTTACGTGTTACCAAGGAAAATACACCTTTTCTTCCCAACTGGATTAACTTGCTGCTCTCCTCATCCCTCTGGGTGCAGCTCTGCCTACCTCGAGCTCCCTCAGTATCCACCCAAGTCTCTCTTCTTTCACACTCATTAGGAGTTCCACCCAAGTCCCATGCCCTCAGGCCCACCAGTTCTCAATGTTTCACTGTTACACTGTTGAAGCGGCTGGCGAGTTCACTGCACAAGTAAACACTGGTGAGATTTGTTCCTGTCAGTTTTTCTTCCTGTCTCCCCAGGATCCTAAGTCCCTATGTTGCTTTTAATTTCATTCAGTTTTTTCCTTGCTTGCTTTGGGGCTTATCCTCACCTGGATGAATATCAGGCAGCCACATTTCACAAGACATTTGTTATATTCACAGCAACCAAAAAGATGTGAGAAAACAAGGAGAAGAAGATAATTTCTGCCAGCTGTTAGGACTTTATATTGAGAAACTGGCCTATTGCCTTTCATACTGCTTGAGTTCCTGGTTCTGGCAGTGGATAGTAGCTGGCTGTTGACTTGTCTGTCTGTTGGCAAACTTACAATTTGCTCCCTTATGCCTATTTAAACAGATACGTTTTTAGAAGGTTAGGCAGGAAGAATCTGTTCCATTAGGGATAGAAAGTGTGATATAGCGGAGGGTGGTGCTGTGAAAAGTTACTGATCTTTGTGGATCTCTGATGAGAAAATTCTCCTTGATCTGCCCTTCCCTTCTGAACAAAACTTTCATAGGAATAAACTTTAGCACCTATCCCATCAGTAGTGACTATCTTCTCCCAGTAGCAGTGCACCTTATTAATGAATGAAAAAACATTGTGTAAAACAGGCTGTGTTGATTTTTTTTAGATCAGAAGCTATCCAGCAGGTCTGTCCAACAAGCATCAACTAAGGTATGATTTGGGGGGAGAAGAAGGGGAAGGCAAAAATCTAGTCACATGG